TTATTCTATATTATATTAAATATATTATATTATATATATATATATATATATATATATATATATATATATATATATTATATTATTATTATTATATATTATATATATTATATTAATCATCAGCATTTTTGTTTACTAGCTTAGAGACAATTTGAGAGAATTTACTGTAACGCGGGTAGCTTCATAAGAATAATTGAGCCGTTTATTTTGAAAAAGTGGCCTAAGTCTATTTATACTTAAATTGAGATATTTAAGGGTTTGTGTTTCAATGCAATTAAAAATATACGTACACAATACTAACGAGTCATACTGCTTAAGGAGCTANTCAAATTTTAAGGATTTGCGTTTCGATGCAATTCAAAATATACGTACAGGATACTAATGAGTTATACTGTTTAAGTGTATCTAAAGGAGTTGAATTTATAGTTCCTATTAAAATAATGGCAATTATTAAGCGAATAATATGCGTTTTCTTACCAAGAACACTTTCAAAATTAACAACCAGATTCGTTATAAAATTTGAAGGTGCCCAAGTCCGTTCAACATAATTTAATATGCTCCAAATTGAAAAAAAAACAATACTCAATTTATTTTCTATATCTTTACACTTCAAAAACATAATTTATGCGATTCAAAACATTTTTTAACTACATAAATTACAAAACAATTTACTGCTCATCTACATTTTGAATTCCGTTTAATCTTTCGCACTTTTTGGATGTACGTTTCATCAATCTTTTCTCCATTGTTATCTGTATCTTCATCCCCTGACGGCGAATATTGTTCTGTAATTCTCTTTCTTTTTCGATTTTCCTTGAAATCATTAGTTACTAATTCTTCTTCACTATCTGAAATAAAAAAGGTCTTGTCGTTTCGTTCTTCTCCATGGGTGAAATAATTTCTAAAATTTAATATTAAATTTTAAGTTNCAAAACAATTTACTGGCTCTCGTTTACATTTTGTTCTGGAACACTTTTCAAGGTACGATATTTCTGGTTCGAGTATAATTTCGTTTTCCTGAATTCCGTTTAATCTTTCGCACTTTTCGGATGTACGTTTCGTCGATTTTTTTCACCATTGTTATCCGTATCTTCGTCCCCCGACGTCGAATATTGTTCTATAATTCTCTTTCTTTCTCGATTTTCCTTGAAATCATTAGTCACCAATTCTTCTTCGCTACCCGTTCTGTCCCATGGGTGAAATAATTTCTAAAATTTAATATTAAATTTTAAGTTTCATATTTAACTGTAAGTATGTATATTGCGTAAATTTTTTTTAACTACACTAATTAAACGTACTGATTATTCAACTAAAGCAGTTGTCCAAAAACTTGTTAAATACTAATTAATTAAAATTACCTTCATCACTGCCTTCGGACATTATCAATAATAAATATTTCAATTTTTAAGTATAAATGGACTTAGGCCACTTTCAAAATAAACGGCTCAATTGATTTCGATTGATTTCGACAATGGAATCATTCGAGAATGAATTTTATTCAATAGTTTCCTTCTACGAAGGCTTCATAACGTGACAAATTTTAACTGAAAAAAAAAAATGAAACCGATGGTTCGGTTTGAATTCTGTTTGAACAGAATTTTGTTTTACTATGTATCGACAACTCCTCTTGCAACTTCGAAATCCAGAACATTAACAATCTCGTATAACTCTGAGAATTTATCACCTAGATTTTGAAAATGTTAATACATGTTTTTGATTTGATGATGTTCTGCCTGGTGTCGAGACGAGTACAACATTAAACCTTGAAACAACGCTAAAATAATTTAAGCCACAGGAAGCGAATTCCCAAACCACTGTGCGGTCATTTGAACCGGCACGGTATGTACGGTGTTAAATTACTATTACATTGAATTCCTAGTCCGATTGAATCTCAATTTTACAACGTTTTTTGCGAATATCTCAAAAGCTAAACGAGAGCAGCTATTACGTCCTTAGGAAAAGTTGCTCATTGCTATGATCTTGACAACTTACTTCAAGGCCAATTATTCTTAGAATCAAAAATATCTATAGCCGGTCACTTGCACGGTGGGTTTATTGTTAACATACAGTGACCGAAATAATGATAGGTTCATCGCATTTTTCTGATATAACAGCGTGTTTTACATAATATACGTACATGTGTGTCTGCATTCTATTATTAGTAGTTGATTTGTTACAATGCATTTAACGAAATACATAATTATTTAAGTAATATAATTTTTATTAATATGGAACAATTATTTAAGCATTATAATTTTTATTAATATAATTTTTAGTAATATATTAATTTATTAATATATAATTTTTATCAATATTAGAAAAATACATAATTATTTAAGTAATATAATTTGTATTAATATGGAATAATTATTTAAGTATTATAATTTTTATTAATATAATATTTAGTAATATATTAATTTATTAATATATAATTTTTATCAAAATATTAGAACAATTTTGAATTGTTAATAAATATATCGAAGGTTCACTTAATATCTTTGCATTTATATTTACAAAATTATCAGAAATGCAATTAATTAAATTAACATTTAGTATTGGTCCTTCATTGACAAAGCAACGAATTTTTCCGACGCGAAAGCTGAAACGTTGCAGAACAAGAGAAAAATAGAGAGAACGTAGTATGAACACTTTTCGACCTCGGAAATTTCTGTTAAAGTTAAAACACTCCAACAAAATCATGAATTATCCAACCCCGCGTACAGTCCCGTGAATGTTGACACGCTGATTTCACAGCCGATCGCAAAATTTATCCGTCACTTCGGGATATAAAAAAAAAAAAGAAAAAATCAATTCAAGTGAAAAAAGGAACCAGCGTAAACCTACCAAGACGAATCTATCATTATTTCGACCACCGTGATCGCTGGCGACGGCCGCGCGATAATGCTCGTTCAGTTCGAAACAATAAATAACCGTTACCTGATGTAAATGATGACCCCGTTGGTGCATATCCTTTTCCATCCACGTGGCACTGTAATCGCTTGTTGATGGTGCTGCTGTTGCTGCTGCGTAACCACCGCACTACCGTTCATCGTGAGCACTACATTTTGCTGGCCGGTATTGTCATTATTGTTAGTGTTGTTGATGCAGGCCAACGACGTCTGACGCGCAGCCTGCTGCGCGCACGGACCGCCGCCGTTGACCGTTGCGCCGGCCGACAAACTATCGTGAGCCGATTGACTTTGACTTTCGGGGCTGCTCAAACTGCTGTAGGTCGACGACTCGCCGGTATCGGAGCGAACCGAGTCGCAGCTAACCGCCCCGCTGCCACCGCCGTTACCATTACCAACAACAACAACAACACCGCCACCACCACCACCACCACCACCACCACCGCCGCCAGCTACACCGACACCGACACTGGACGCGGACGACGTGGACGACGCGGACGACAGGGACGAGCCGGCGGCCTGGTTCTGGAACGCGTCCTGCTGCTGCCGGCTTTTCTCGTCCATGTCGACGCCAGATCGTTGCTCGACACCGTCGGCTTGGAAAACACTCGCGGACGTTTGCGTCGCGTCGTTCCCCTGCCGCACGTACGCGACGCACGCGGCGGCGGCGGCGGCGTCGTCGCTCAAAAGCCCGACGCAACCCTCGCCGAGACTATTCCCTTGCGCGATCCTACCGTTGTAGCCTTCCGGCAGCCTGGCCGCCGTCGGATAGATCTCGGCGTGGATCCTCGATGGAAACAACTTGTTCGACATCATCTCGTTGCCGTTCGCCAGCCTGCCGATCGGCTGCTCGGCGTTCCCGAGGTTCTCCTCGTTGTTGCCGGCCTCGTTCTCCGGCTGTCCACCACGGCTCACCACCGTGTTCTTGTTGTCGCCGGCCGACACCACGCACGTCATCGTCGTGCTGGCCGCCGTGCTGGTCGCCTGCACGAAGCTCGCTTGTCTGTAGAGCAGGCCGTTGCTCGAGACGATCGTCCCATAGTCCTCTTCGTCGTCTACCGTGCCCGCGGACAGGGTACGCATAGACCGACTCGAGTCACCATCGTTGGGCACGTACTCGAGCGGCTTCAGTCGACAACAGTTATTGGCGGCCGCGGCGGCGACGGCGCCGCTGTTATCGTTACAGTATATGGCGGTTTTGGCGGGAAACGACGCCGCCGCCGTCGCCACCTGCGGCGGTAGAATACCGGTGTACGTCGCCTGCTGCGGAGACTGATAGCCGACTGCGGTAGCAGCAGCAGCAGCGGCGGCGGCGGCATTCTGACCGACCGCCGTCGCGTACGCGAAATTCTCCCCCGAGACGTACACTAAAACGCTGTTCTGTTGAATCCCATGCTGCAAACGCTGCTGCTGCTGCTGCTGATCTGTTTGATCTTGCTGAGGTTGCTGCTGTTGCGGATGATGATGCTGCTGATGATGATGATGTTGTTGTTGTTGTTGCTGATGGTGGTGTTGTTGTTGTTGTTGCTGCTGTTGATGGTGATGATGATGATGATGACTGTGACTTGGGGGAGCAGGGTGTGTGGACGGCTGCTCAGGCTTGCCGGCCATGGTCCAGGTCCAGCAGCGCTGCAGGTAACCCCGACACCGACATCACTGGAACGCTGCTAGCACGCCTACATCGAGGTACCTCGAGGTCCTGCCGCATCCTCTAGAGACGAAGATGATCGCGCGCGCCTGTGTGCCTGTCACAGCCGAAACCTACTACGTTCTCGCGGCGGTCCCCCTTCCGCGCCACTCACCGATCCTTGGAATCTCGCAGCAGCTGTACAGCACGGTCTTGGCGCTCGACATCCTTGGCTTCACCGCGTGCGGCATGCCAAACGGGCATCCCGATTTCACCGGCCGGCTAAGAACCTTCTCCTACTCGGTTTTCCTTGTTCCTCGTGTGAAAAACTCGCACACGTACGCTCCGCGGGAACGACTCTCTCGCGTGCCCGCGTCCGGCTCCGACGGATCCCCGACGTGAAACCGGTGCCAAGATTCGAAAATCGCGACGTGCAGCCGACGGACGACAGACACGCGCCCAGTCACACCGGTCAATGCCCGTCTAACCCTCCTCGCCGCGATGCACGATTCGCCCGGTGCACCGATCGATTTATCGCGATCGATGTGTATTGCGGTCTCCTTGGAACGATTAAAAATTGTAGGAAAATAGCACTGTGATTCGGAGGGTCTCCGCTTGGTTTTCCTTCGACGTCCGCCGGTAGTCTCCTCGAAATTGCTGCACGGCTCTCTCTCTCTCTCTCTCTCTCTCTCTATCTATCTATCTATCTCTCTATCTCTCTCGGTTCTTGTTAAGCTTCTTTAGTAAAGACTTCGTCGATAAGAAAAGCACGTCAAGGTCGTAGGCAGTTCTTCGCGGGAAATCGATGGACCTGTTTGTTTGTTTGTTTGAAAATCACGTTTCGCGGATGGTCTTGCTGCGAAACGACAGCTCTCGGCCCATTCGTGTCCGACACTCCGATCCGGCCGCGTCGAAACAACAGAACGGGGCTAAGCACCGAACTAACCTAGACTGTTGAACGCCACGCTGTTATTCATAATGCGTGCACGCTATATGCCGACGGACGCAGCAGCGGCAGCGTCGCAAACAAAAACACTTGGTAAACATCGTTGATAACAGGCGGCACGGTTTCGTTTGATCACGGTTTTGTCGGTGAGGAGAGAACGGCGGAGGCGGAACTATCTCAAGATCGCTGGATGGATGTATCAACGTTTGAAAAAATGTCCAGGTCGAGCTCGTGTCATTGCCACGGTCTCTCGTCGCTTTATTCGCGGTCGCAGTCCCGATTTATTCCGTTTCACATATACGCACTCACTTTTCAACGACGAAACGATGAATGGAACTGAATTATGTCATCGTGTGCCACTGTCACTAAAAAAATACGCTACATCGGAACTTCGGTGTTCACGCACTAAACAAGAAAGCCATCTCCTTGCCGGGCACTGAATATACTCACAGGTTAATCGTGACCGAGACACGACTCGTTCGATCGGTAATGGCGCGAATGCACTCTCGGTACAAAAAACCACTTTATACTGCCATAACAATTCGCGTTAAATCGCACGGACGGACGTACGTCGTGTTATGACGCTGTGTCATCGTCACAGCAGCAGTAGCACCACCACCACCACCACCGCTGCCTCCACCACCACTAGTACTGCCACCACTACCACCAGTCGCGGTTACGAACTCGGGTTAAGTTAACTAACCCTCTTCTCGACTCGAACACCTGCGCGACCCGCGCTCCGTCGGTTTCACCGAACCTCGCTCCGTGATCGCGTGGAAATGTACGCTTATTATTTTCCAGCAAGCACGATCGTCCCGTCCTCTTCCGCCGAGCCGCTGTCGTCTGCTTCCTGATCAATTCCTCTTGTGCAACACGGACAGAACGCAGGCTACCGAACGAAATCCCATACTGCGGATGCTATGCGTACGCTGTTTTCGCATAACTGATATTGGAAAAATATGGCTCCCTCCGCATACCCAGAAACCTTTGCGGCATCTCGACTGCTGGCTTTCGGGCACTTGTGTACGCACATTACAAAAACATCGACCCTGGCCGCGATTATATCGCCATCGTTAGGCTATTCTACGTAACTCAAAGGCACATTAACATTGTTACCGCTCATGAATGACTCTAATTACGAATGTGTGCGTAGTTAGTTTATACATCCTTTGAATAAAGCTTTTTCCCCTCTGTGGTTTTCCAGTTCTGATATTTTCCTTGGACAATAAGCTACTGTAAATAGCTACCATTTTTTACCACTGTTTGTCGATATTATTGGCAGAGATCTATTGAGCATTTTAATCGAAATTTATGCAATTACAATCGATTTTTTTGGAAAAAAAAGAAGTAATGGAAATTTAAGTATGATGTGAATATATAAAGGGTCGAGGGTTGAACTTAAGAATAAATATTCTCGACATGCTTCACATTATACTTTGTTCAATTTATTTGACGACGCAAAAAAGTACTAACTGATCACCAATTGATCTATAATAAATAAGATTACAATACATTTCTATTTAAATTTGCTATAGTAACTGCAGACGAGTACGCGATCTTGTGTACAGTAAATTATGCGAATGTATCGAAGATCTATTTTAATTTAATATATAACAAATTTACGGTCATTAAAATGGCCAGTTGTTCATGCGCATTACTAGTTTTGTTACAAATGAATAGGGAATCGCGTTCCTTTCAAAAAAGATATACAAAGCAGCCTCTTGAATATTTATTGTATATTAGTTGATTCAAGTTCCAAAAAGTAATTATAATTTTACTTTCGCTTTCCAGGATCGCGACAGAGAGACGGGTCCTGGAAATGATCTTTTCTTTTGTAGCAATAAATAATAGTTTTGAATACGCACAACAGTCCACTCACACATACAGGAACCACATTTTTCTTCCTTATATCGTATTATTGTTGAACAAATTTTAAATAATTTTGTCAATATCGTCATACACTAGCGTAGCTCTTAAAAGAGATTAGACCACATATAATGGAGTAATGTACCATTAAAATAAAAGCGATTTAGAGATCTGCAATCAAACTATGAAACACTTTACTAAATTTTTCATTTTCATCAGAGTTATTACGTCCACCAACAGATTTCATACTATTTGAATTGGTATCGTGTTTACTAATATTAGACATCGAGTTGAATCCGACAAGCCCGTGTAGTCAATTGTTAATCGTTTAAAGAACCTTAGGGAAATACAAATACAGACAGTGAAATCAGAGTAGTATCGTTCGACGGTCTAACTTTATTTCTAGCATTTCAGTATGCTTGTAAGGCGGAAAGAAATTTGAATTTTCAACGTTATTGCATGATATAAGTGATTATGTTTGTATTTACTACCAACGTTACAAGATGTTACGTTAGATGTTGAATAAGTTCACCTTTTCTTATCACTGTTCGATGATAAGTACATTTTTTTCGTAATACTTTCCTACAGCAAGCGAGTAACTAATCATAATCAGTTTACTAATTGTCACCAAAATTTATAGTTGAAATTTAGGCGCGATGATAAATGTATAGTCAATAGTGTCAACGGTTTCTCAATACAATCGAGTGTTAAGTATGATCTTTGCATAAGAATCGTTGGTGATTCCTTACGGTTTTTCATAGTCGTGCATATATCTAGACATTTTGTTCCTTCAAGTTCTTTTCATTTGTCTTGAAGAACATTATTTTTTTTTTCTATTGTGTCCGCATTTTTTCATTCTTCTGTTAATAGATGCGATTCAGAATCAGCGAATGGGACAAAAGTTTAAAATGAAAGAATGACCATATTTATTGTGACATTGATGTAATCAAATTAATGTGTGGCACATTGGACTCGAGGAGCACCTCCTTCATCTTCTTCATACGCCTGTCGTTGTTCTCGTTCTGGATCTAAGTCCGTAAGTATAACTTCTTCCGCACCTTCTGGAATGATAACCTCTTCCCTCCTAGGTAAACATCGTTCAAGCATTGGAATATCATTAATATCAATGGTTTTTGGGAAATTAACTACTAATTGGATTATAAGTCTGCCATGTGTGAAAGGATCCTTGTAAACCGGCATTCCCTCGTTCATAATACATTTCAAGTCTCCATGCTTTGTTACTGTTCCAGGAAGTGAGGTCACTACTAACTCTCTTCCATCCAAAGTGTGAATCACTTTTTGGAACCCACATAGGGCTTCGACGAGTTCTAGTTGCATCCTCATAATTAAATCATTACGTGAACGCCTAAAACAATAGATTAATGAGTATGTCTTCTTATAATATGTTTAAATAAGTAAACTTTAAACAAGTCGAGTCATCTAACATGACGAGCCTAATTTTTTTAAATTTTAAGTCGCCATATTGGATAGCCGGTATTAATTTTAAGCCACAACAATCGTTAAAATACTAACTTGAAGACCTCATGCTTCTTCTCTTCAAGAAGGATGACTATGTCGCCAGGCTCATAATCTGGTTCTTGATCTCCCTCTCCACTAAATACGATGTTTTGTCCATCTGCCATTCCTGGATCAACATGAACTTCCAAAATTTTCCTGTCTCTAATTGTCTTCCTACCACCACATTGTTTACAACGGTCTCGCGGATTTATGCGCTCTCCCTGTCCTTTGCAGTCTGAACAGACACTCTGCACATGCTGAATCATTCCCGGTCCTAGCGGCTGTATTACAACTTTCATACCAGATCCATGACATGTTAAGCATGTCTCAACCGAACCTTTCTTACCGCCGACACCTAAACCAAAGGATTATTATTTCTCATTCCAATCAAAATTTTGTATGGAAATTACAAAATAATATCTACCTTCGCACTTATCACAAATAACATTCTTTTGCAAAGCTAATTTGCGAACAGTGCCCTTGTACAGTTCCTCCAATGAAACAGAAAGCTGATGTATAACATCTTGTCCCTTGCGCTCTCTTCTTCGAGCAGATCTTCCAGAGAAACCTCCACCAAAGAACATATCGAAGATATCCATGGGTGAAGAGAACATACTGCTTCCTCCACCACCTTCTTTCAAAGCTTGCTCTCCACCCTGGTCATAAATTTTCTTCTTCTCAGGATTGGATAATACTTCGTATGCTTGTGAGATTTGTTTGAACTGTAACGAAAAGCAAATTTATGAAACAAGCCTCGATTACAAGAATTTGAAGCAGCATCGTACGATATTTTACTAACTCTTTCTCCTTCATTGGGATTCTTGTCAGGATGGTACTTCAGTGCAAGTTTCCTGTAAGCCTTCTTGAGATCTTCTCGAGTACAACCAGGCTTGACACCCAAGACATCATAAAATGTCGTTTCCTTCACCATTTTTACTATAATCTATTTGTTATAGAAGAGACAGCTGCTACTGTTGCGATTGGATTATCCCTGCTGATAATCAGAAAATGCAATGAAAACATTACTTGGATTTTTAGTTTTAATCAAATTATCATTATTAACACTTCACGTATCAGAGGTGAATTCACGTTATTTTAAAAATTAAAAATTAGCAATTCAGACATTCTAAAGGAACTTTTTAATAGCAATAGAGATTAGTACTTTCTTATGAAACTACTAAAAAGAAAATTGTTTAGCTACTTGCATATGTAATAAATTTATTCAAAAAGTATATTAATAGCCCCTCAAGAGATAAAGTGTTTACAATTAATTAATTAATTAATTCCAAATAATATTAAGTTTACTACCACTGTACTATTCTAATACTGTAGTACGTATACCTAATTCTTCATTGTTTCGATACATAGTACAGCGACCCAAAACTGTATAGTGCATACATTCGAATTTGCCTTTGCATAATAAATAAATGTTTTCTTTGATTTTAAAACTATCATGTTTTGTGCTAAGCAGATACAGAGGCATACAAAATCAAGGTAATTATTGGCTTACAAAAGTTTCCAAGTTATAGAGATTAAAATTATTAAGACT